CGTTTTTTGGTTTTTTGACACAGGGTCTCACTACGTAGTTGAGACTGACCTGGAACTCACTATGTAGCCCAGGCTGGTCTCGAACTCACAGCGATCCTCCTGCCTCAGCCACCACGCCCGGCTGATCACCAAGTAGTAAGAGTGAAGGTCTGGTCTCAGGACGGCTAGGGGCAAAGCTGGGGTGGGCAAAGAATGTGTGCAGAACTGGGTATGGTGGCCAGCACTGAGCCTGGAGAGTCACTGGTAGTCTGAGGCCAGCCTGGGCTACGTAGTGAGTTCAAGGCCAGCCTGAACTACATAGTGAAATCCTGTCTCAGAAAACAAAACAAAAAAGCATGTGCAGAAAAAAAGGGCTGCTTTGCTCAATATATCCCCACAGCCTTGGAGGGAGACAAGGTCTGCAAGTTTAATTCCATTTCAACTAGCCCCATGGGGTATTCAGAACTCATTTTGTTTTGCTTTTGGCTGTACTAAAAACTGCCTTACTGATATGTGCCGGAAGAAGCAGGCTATCAGATGAAATCTGGAATTGCTTTTCTTCTTTCTTTCAGTGCTTAGGATTGAGCCCAGGGTGCTGAACATGCTAGGCAAATACTCTCCTACCGTGCTGCACCTCCCCTGGGTCTACTATTGTTTTAACCAGTCGGCTTTATTGAGATGTAATACACATTACCATGCCGTTCACGTATTTGTTACTGAGGATTGAACCCAGAACCTCACAGAGGTTAACTACCCAATTTATCACTGAGCTACATCCCCGCCCTTTTAATTTTAAATATTTTTGGGGTTTTTTTTGAGACAGTCTCTATGTACTTCAGGCTGGCCTTGAACTCACTATGGAGCCCAGGATGGCCTCCGGAATGCTAGGATTACAGGCGTACCTCGCAAGCCTCAAGGTCATAGTCTTAACCCTATTTTTGCTAGGTGTTTTCAGAGCTCCCCTCTCCTTTTTTTTTTTTTTTTTTTTTCGGTACCGGGGAACTCGGGTCCCTGCGCTTGCAAGGCAGGCCACCGAACCACTGAGCTAAATCCTCGGCCCCTACCATCTCCTTTTAAATGTGGGGTTGGGGATGGAAGACTGGGCCACAGTCTTCAAGCGGACGCCCATTAGTCCTCCCAAGAGACCATCCTGACACAAGATCCCTTAGGGGGTCGCCGCCCGGCCCTCCGGCTACTCGCCACCAGCGACCGCGAAAGCGGAGC